AGCTGAGGGCTCCCCGGGTTCAAAGGGCCGCAGCCCCGAGGGAATGCCCTACTCGCGGTGCCCCGGGCTGCAGAAGCGGACTGCAGGGCGGTGGGACCGGCCTGGGCCACGGTAGGAACCGCGAAACCTCACGCTTCCCTAAGTAGCTGGTCCCGGGGGAGGGCACCAGGGAGATTACCCTGCGCCCCACAGGGTCGTGACAGGCGTCTGACATTTGTGTGCACCACTAGGGCCTCTGGCCTGGGGCTCCTGGGGCCGCCTTGAGCGCCCTACACCCTTGGGTGAGTCACAGTCTCCAAAAGGCCTCCACAGGCCTGGACTCCAGGAAACGCTTTTAGTATAATAATAGTAGGCGTTTTCCAAAGTTTTATTCTTTCCAATGGAGAGTTCCCCACTTAACTGGCTGTAAACATAATTAATAGTTATTAACATGTAGGAAAAAAATCTTTGTGGTGTTTAAAAGGATAATAGTTTCTCTGGCTCACACTCCAAGGATGGAGAGAATCTTGAAATGTGAAAATACCTTGATTAGATTATTAGACCTATTAGACGGTGATTTCCACCCTTCTTTAATGAAATTCTCTCTCCTCCCTTCCTCTGCCTCCCGTTCTCTTTCTTTCTCCCTCTCCCAGTTTCCAGCTCACTCTAATCCAGGAGTCATTAGCAACACCCTCTGGCTACATGTTTTGCATCAGTGAAACATTGTGACACAGTTGTAATACAAACTCCGCCGCCTTGTGCTGCGTCCTGCGATAGGAAGTGTAATAGCAATAAAAATCATTTTTCCTCTCCAGGCATTATGCAGTGGGAGAGGGGAAGAAAAAAAATCTTAGAAAATCCTAATGTGAAAAAAGGATGGCGTGGAGGAGAAAGTACCATAGAGAAGAAATGGAAAGGCAGGAAAGAGAGAGAGAGAGGGAGAGAGAGAGAGAGAGAGAGGGAATTTTCCAATTCAGAACTCCCCTTCTGTAAAATGTAGGCCTGTTGATTCAAACATATTATTTTCTATGATCTCCTCTCCTCTGCTTTTATGCTTGCTCCCCACTGTCGCCCCCTCCCCTCTGTGAGCTCCAGGACCCTCTCTGGCCCTGCCTCTTAGCTCCCAGGAGATCTCAGTAGCCACCCCCAAGTTGGCAACCTTGCACCCCCCTGACAAGCTCGTGAGTTCCAGAGGCCCCGCCACCCCTCCTTAGCCAGCTGAATGGAGAGTTGGAGGCTCCCTCAAGTCCGGTTAGAATACTGGGGCCTCAGTCCTGTGTGGTCTCTCCCAGGAATCTTTCCTAGTCTAATGAAAAAGCTAACCTGGCTATTTTCCTGGTTGCGGCCCTGTAATTTCAGAATGGGAGCTCAGGGAGCCTTCTAATCTGTAGTGTGGGGCATTGGTTACAAGGAGAAAGGGCATGGGCACCGTCCCTCACCTGACCCTGGGGGACTCGACCTGCCAACTCAGAGGGGTATAAAGACAGAAGAAGGTGTCTCTGTGTTAAGCTTGCTTAGGAAGGGAAATCTAGGGACTTGTACAGCATCACGTAACCCTCCACCTGGGTGCCACAGTCTCCAATTGAGTCTGCATTTTATGTGTAGAGTCCACTGAGTTCTCTAAAGAAAGATATTAAAGGGGCCAGGGATTTAGCTCAGTAGTTTGGTGGCCTGCCTTGCAAGAGCAAAGACCCAAGTTCAATCCCTGGTACCAAAAGAAAAAAAAAAAGATCTTAAAACTTCAACTGAAACTACATCAGATCAATATTCTGTACCCCTTTCACAAACAAAGGAGCCCCACAGATCTTCCCTGGACAATGGGAGAGATGCTCTGTTTTCAGAACTAGAGTTGGTACCTGAAGGGTATTTTATTATTATAACCGATGGTGCAGTTTGAAACGAATTGAGACAAAGACTCACCAAACCATATCAGAGAATGAAGTGGTTTCATAGTCGTGCGGGAGGACGTAAGTGTGGGCCAAACATCTTAAGTTACCAACTGGAAAAAAATAGAGTCAAATGTCCATCTGCATGTCGGAGAGAACGCTGTGTAACTTATAATTCTGACTGCTGCTACTTTCCCTGGTTGGTCGGCAGACACGTGGAGGACTACACTTCGTGGTTCTGTTGTCAGCAAGAGCGAAAGTCAAAAGGAACAAGGTTCAGTGGGTTGGCGCCTGGTGTGCCGGAGCCCCTCTGGTGCCCGACTGCCAGAACGCAAGGATTGTGATGGAAATGTAATTGGGAGGGAAGGACTTCATAGGCACTGGCCTCGTGGGGGATATTTACATTGGCCACAGCCGAGTGACCCAAAACACCGGGTACCCGAACTGGTGGCCTCCTAAGAAACACAGTTTGGGTATTGATCTTTCCACAAGAGCAGCCTCCCAGCTCAGGCGGCTACTTTAGGTTCGATGAAATTGTGCATGTATATTATTCTTCTTCCGCTATGTCCCCTTTCGCTCCAATGTGGGTTCGGTCGGTCACAGATCAGTCTTCTTAAGCTGTGGGGAGAAGGAAGACCTGTGCGTTTCGGCTTCTCTGGAGGTTTGACAAGGAAAAGGTCCGGTGACGTTCAAATTAGGCGGGGAGCTTGGCCGCGCAATTCCAGTTTCCGAAGCGAGGTGGCGCTCCAGGGCACGGCAGCGCGCCCGGCTCTCCGCAGGCGAGCTGCACCGGCGCGT